CATGTGACCACTTGACATCTCTCACAGTCAGCTGGTCTTTATGCCGGGCGGAGAGTCCACTGCCACCATGGTGGGTGGATGAATAACTGATGATAGCATTGCGAAGATTGAATTCCTCGGAAGAATGATCAGGCGAAACGCGAATGGTCTTCAGAATCTCCTTTCCGCCAATGACTGCATGTGTTCGCTGCGGGGAGATATCTAGAGCGGCAATAGGAATACCAGTCTTATGCGTAACAGTTTGGGATGCTCCAGGTCTAGTGGAAATGTTAACAGATCAATTTCTTTTCTTTTTCTTATTTTTTTCCCTCCCAGTATTTTGTCTGGCAAAGGTTCTCGCAAGAAGAAAGTGGTGCATGATCTAGCATAGAAAGCGCGTGAAAAGGCGGCGAATCGGATGAAACTGGAGGGGAGCCAAATAAAGAAGCAAGGGACAAAGCGGGTAGGGGGGGTCAGCTAGTAGTAAGGAAAACAAAGTGGGTAGCTAATAAAGAGTAATTTATGTAGGTGTGCTAAGGGAGGGGAGAGAGGGAGGGGGAAGGGGGGGGGAGGAGGAGGAGCAAAGGTGAGCTATACAATGACTTGGACCTTGTTGAACGGGGACCAGCAGACAAATCTGCACGACTTCCCGCCGTGTGCGGGCTAGGAGGTCGAGACCCTGAAAAGAAGGGCTGGGCGAATCTTGCCAGAGCACTGGCCGCGCGGTTGGAATATTTGTGACTCTGTTGCACGGGAGCTGGTGGTGGGGGAGGCGGAGGTGCTGGCGAGGAGCTGCCTCGGGCGGGCAATCGTGAGAAGTCGGACATGATTGCCAGCCTGGAGGTGTGTGTCAAGAGATCACTCAGCCACAGAACACGTTAACCCGAATGAGATCGGGGCTCCATCCTGGTAATCGAATGGGTTCCGATGACAAGTACAAAACTGTGATAGTTACTGAAAGGAGAAGAAGGAGGTGGTGGTGGTGGTGGGGAAAAGAGAAAAAAAAAATAAAAGGAAAGGGGGAGGCGGAGTTTGGGTGAGGTGAGGATGTGGATGGGCTGAAGTTCGGTAGTAAGTAGTGGTTTGTGTTGTGATGAGGTTGAACTGGTGACTTTCCAGCTCCAATTCCCTCACGGAAAAAGAACGAGTGGGGATGATTTCGGGCAGCCTGCACTATGCGAGTAAACTATGCAGTGGAAATTATACTACTATTTTGTAAACTTGAATTTTAAATTTTACCACTAATGGGATGTACATAAACTTGAAGATGGTTACCACTAACATTATAGTGATATATATTTGGCATCATAGCTAGCTAAGTACTTAGTACTAAGTACCTTGGTCAATTGTTACTAATACTTACTTGCTTCAGTTGATCAAAGCTCTCATGATTCAGATAACTACTGAATTTAGTTCTGCTACACCGTAAACTTTCTTCCATCATACTAATTATCTCTCTGCATAATCATGTTCATGAATAGTATAACCATAATTGTCCATTTCCCGTCCAATCCATAAACCCGCTTGAACCTCAGTTTCCCATCCGGGCCTTTCCTCCCCGATCGAGTCTAGTCCGGTTTCGGAGCTAGTGAGTACGCGCTAGTGGGTTATTAGGTAACCCACCCCAGCGTGGCAACACCCCGTGATGTGCAGCTCCTGAGTGGGTTTAGCGTGCCGTATCCTCTCCATAATGGTTCCTAAGTTCGTCCATCCTTCCCCCAGAATCAGAAAATGAGATGCGAGGTCCATGAGCAGAGTCAATTGACAAGCAGCGAATTCCAGGAAAGAAGGGCGAAGAACGTAGAATAAGAAAAGAAAAAAAAACCAATTTACAAATTCGATCTGTTCAGCTGATAACTCACAAAGTCAAAAGTAGACTTGTCTAGCCCCTCCCCTCCAAGTAGGGGAGTGTCAAAAGTACAGCATGGGGGCCCGTTCAGACAAACATTCAGCTATCTATCGACGCGTTGACGCTAATCAAGTGGTTACCATGGGTAAAGAGCAATCGAGTGGTTGGTTTCGGAGAACTGTTCTGGATGAACGGAAGGATGGACGGGTGCAGATTAGGAAAGGCTGGAGGAAATCCGACCTGCATGCAGGTTTCAAGGCGGTGTGTGAATTCATAACGGTGGATGGGTTCGATCGGCTCCAATGACGCTTACTGCTAACTCACAAAGTTGGGTTAGCTTTTGGCACTTGTTGACAGTACTACTTGGAGAGGGAGAGGAGACAGGGAGGGAGAGGTTACTACAGCTAGAGCTGTCGAGGGTTATTTGACCAACCCCCAGCAACGTGCTTATTTTGCAGTGTCCACCTATCGGAAGCTCTACCATGCAACAACAGAAATAAGTTACTCAAGCCTCATGAAACCGATAGGCAGTGGTAGTCATGTCATGTCTTACTTTTTTTTTTCACTTAAAGGGAGGGTGGAGGGGAGAGGCGCATCCAGGGCCGTACATTCCAGGCGCGGTTTTAGATCATCCGGACACTCGGGACTTGCTGGGTGGGACAAGCTAAAAGACTAGTACCAGGAATGACTCGTCGAAATGGCAATGGCGATGCATCCTCAACTTGAAGAACATGATCGGTTCCAGCCCTCCCCGCATTGTAGCGACCGACTGCTGGGTCATACAGCGGAGAGGAGGGGGGGAACTTTTTTTTGGTCGGGTGATAATAACGGACACCATGATCATGGTGTTGCGTTGCGTTGCCCTTGAAGCAAGAAATTCTCCGCCCTGTTCTCCAAACTAAACGGTCCAAGACTTCTTCTAGTGACTGCTGTATACTTTACCTTTCAAGTTAAATCGGATGAATTCTCTCGCCCACCATGGAGAAAGCGACCGGACCACATTTCCTTTTGAATACCGTCCCTGAAGCTGTCAGCCACCTACGGCACCCAAAGATCATCCCTCCTGCATGATTTTTGAAGGACTCGATCAATCAAAAATGATCCATGTTCATATATACTAACCAAGGGGGACCGGTAAGATCGTGGGAAGGGGCCAGCAGGAGTGATGTGTCCTTCTGTCTCTCACATCTCTCAAGTCTCAGCAGGCCAGCAGCAGCCATTCAAGGAGCTGCTCAGGCATCCCAGCAAACAGCTTTCCAGGGAATCCCCGGACGGCTATTTGCTGTTGCAGGCCAGGCCTTCCATCATTCGTCCGCTGCGGGTTACCTCTCGCATCGATCTGCGCCTCGCCCTCCTCCATCGAGATCTGTCACGACCACACTACTATCCTTACGCCCTGAGTTTTTCCCCCTCCTGTTGGCCTTTTCCCTTTGTATTTTTTTTAGTTTAGTTCAGTTTACAGTAAGTGTTTACATCTGAGCCCTGAAAAGATCGTCAATCTCTCTTGCTTCTTTCTCCTCTATCGAGGGTTACACAACGATCTCTACCCTTTCACTCACAGGTTGGCTCGCAGCTACCTACTGTACCGAGTATCTACCTGTAGCTGGTGGTAGTATGTACATAGTAACTTTATCGCAGTACGCAGTGGTAGTACTAGTAGCTGTGTGTAAGTAGCAGTATGATCATGTATGTATGCAACAAGTATGTCTCGCTCGAATCATATAGTCAAGCCCCAGGAGTTGGGTTCTTGTACCCCACAGTTAGTATAGCTGCTAGTACTCAACAGAGTAGTAAGTCAGTCATTTACTCAGGCTTCCATTCTTTCCTAAATGCTTCTTGAGGGTTCGTGACCGTCGGCGGCCGAATTGTCCTCAAGTCTCGAACCTTCATTCCAACCCCTGTTCCCATTGGGCACGAATCATTTGGTCAAATCCACCCCGACCCGAGAAAATGGCCATGAACAGCGCCTCAGCAGGTACTTGCTTCCTACTGGAATTGACAAACAGCTACGTACAACACTGTAGTTTGATCATTCATTTCAGCACACCGTCCTTTTCTCCGCCTTTTGAGAAAAAGACCAAAAAAAAAATAAACACATTTAATTTTTAATATTTTTTTGTTGTCTACTTTGGGCTGTTTTAGCCACACCTTGCTCCTCGACACGTAACATTTAAGCAATGGTGGGGAGGAACAGCATGCAAAGGAATATGGGGGGAAGAGGGAAAAATTAAATGAAAAAGGACGAAAATGACGAAAAAGAAAAAGCAAGAGGCATATAATAATAAACCTCCGATTTTGCATCTGATCATCCTCGAAGAATTTCACACCCCCAGAAATAAAAGAAAATGAGATAAAAAGGATCAAATGGAATAAAATAAAAGCAAAGCAAAGCAAACCGACCGTTGAAAGAGAAAAGGAAAGCAAAGAAGAGCGACTGACCGTTCCTATGATTTAAATAAATCATTTGTTTTAATTACAATCCTTCTTCTTCATACAAACTAAATAAATAAATTGATTTTTATTTTATTTGATTTGATCCCCCTACTCTGGTTCAGCTGGATCCGATTCCTATTTTTCGCCTTCCGAAGCCAACCAAGCTTGGAGTAGCTTTGGGTCCGGCTAGTCTGGGTTCTCGACTGCTGCTTTCGCATCCACACCGTCATTCTTCCTCGACCGTCCAGTTACTATTTGTATCCTCCAACGATCCTTTCCTCTCGCGTGTTGCCTCTTGCTATCTTCTCTTCCTGTCTTTCCCTACCTGCTCTTTTCTTTCTTCCGTCTTTCCCTCCTCCTTCCCTCTCTTCCGCTGGCCTCCCCCCTCCCTGCTGGGGCTTCTTTGTTTTCCCTGCTTGATATCATCTTCCCTGGTGCAAGTCTTTCCCGGATCTTGTTTCTTTTCACTCCTCTCTTATAGTTTCGGGATTAGCCTATCTGTATTCTTCTCCTGTACTTATTGAACAAAACTTTTTTTTTTTTATTTTCTCCCCCTACTCTTCCATTGCCCTTTTCTTTTCTACGAGACATTTTTATTTTCTTTTTTTTTCCTCTTTTCTTATTCCGCCTGTCGTTTTTGGTTAAGAGAGAGACATTTCTCCTCCATTCCTAAGCTTAATAGAAGATCGAAAAAGAGGCTACTCTTCCCACGTGTTTGTCGACCCACCCCCAGTCCATTACAACTTTTGGCTCCTTCGATCGCCAAATATTTCGGAGCAGCTTTCGCCTCCTACCATCCTATTACAATATATCCCCGTCATCTCACGAGTGTGGACCTGTCGCATCTTGCGGTCTTCGGCGTCAATCTAGAAGAGGAAGGTGGTCGCTAGGTCATGGAAATACCTTAAATGGTCTTCTGATTCTATATCGGCCAATTGGGAGGACTGCACATCATGGGTTACCAACACGCAACTCGCGATATGGTGGCGTATTTGCGCATCGCATCGCCCATTATTCTGCTCCTCATATTTGTCGCCTCCTTCATTGCGAGCTCCATTGTCACGGCTAGAAATGCGAACAAGAACGCCAATGCCGTACATACCGGCCCTGGTGGGCGACCACTCCCCAAACGGTCCCGGAGTACAATGACCGTGATCAAGGCACCGCAAAAGTTCTCAGAACGCACAAAACTGTTGTTCAAGTGGTTGTCTGTCGGAGTACTTCTGACAATCGCCGCGGATGGTGCCCTTAATGTGGCCCATGTGATGATCGCAAGATCGGAACACTGGTGGTGTGGCCAATCAGTGGTGGTAAGTCCTCTGCTTTGCCTCAGCTTTTAGTTCTGACCCAAGCTTGGGTTGGAACCTCAAGAAACGGGAGGGACGTAGTCGCTAATGATACTAGATCTATGTCGTGGGCTCATTCTTCGACTACGCGATCATACTCGTCTCTTTGTTGGATACAAACCCCTCTCCAACCTTCGCCCAATTTATTCCATGGCTAGTGGCGATTCCGATTGAACTGGGTATCTTAGGCACCTCCCTCTCCATCTATTCCGACGTACACCGCGAACCTGTGGTTGGGAACCCTGTTGGTGGTCGTCTGAGACAAGGCATAACGCCGTGGGAGTTAGCGGAGGTAGTTCTGAACTGTGTTCGGGTACTGTTCCTCATGGCTATGGTCATGTCCTACATGTTCAATACGATCAACTTCAACTCCAAAAGGGCTCACGGCCACGTCAATGGGGTCAATGAGACCACGGGTTTACTTAACGGCCACCACGCAGAAAATGGGAATGCCTACGGCTCAACGAATGGTCACGCGCAGGCTTCCAAGCCCGCCGATCCGTGGGTTCGCCCGACTACTGTTCCGTCGACTAGTTGGTGGGAGTATCTTAGCGGTTACTCACTATTCTTCCCATACCTATGGCCATCAAAATCTCGTCGGTTGCAGATAGTAGTGGTCATTTGCTTCTTGCTCATTGTACTGCAACGGATCGTCAATGTGCTGGTTCCTTACCAGGCAGGTGTCATCACCAACATGCTCTCCAAGCAAGATGGCGAATTTCGAGTTCCGTGGTCCAACATTTGCCTCTACATTCTCTACCGGTGGTTGCAGGGCAACCAGGGTCTCATCGGTTCTTTGCGGTCTAATCTATGGATACCTGTGAGCCAGTACTCCTACATGGAGCTCTCGACTGCGGCTTTCGAGCACGTACATGGACTGAGTCTCGATTTCCACCTTGGGAAAAAGACGGGTGAGGTGCTATCTGCCCTGAGCAAAGGTAGTTCAATCAACACATTTCTCGAACAAGTCACCTTTCAGGTCGTCCCTATGTTGGTTGACCTCTGTGTTGCGATCGTCTTCTTCCTTGTCTTCCTGGACGCTTATTATGCGCTCGTGGTAACTATTGTCACTTTCTGCTACCTCTACGTCACCGTGCGTATGGCACAATGGCGAGCGGAAATCCGCAGAGAGATGGTCAACAAGTCCCGGCAAGAAGATGCCGTTAAGTAAGTACACAATATCACCGGTTAATACTCAATTTTGTGCAAAGCTTATAGTATGGCTAGGAACGATTCTATGGTCTCCTATGAAACCGTGAAATACTTCAATGCGGAGGACTATGAGTTTGGCAGATACAGAAATGCTGTGTCTGACTTCCAGAAGGCCGAATACCACGTTCTCTTCTCCCTCAATCTGCTGAATACATCGCAGAACACAGTTTTCATGCTAGGTTTGCTGATTGCATGCTTTATCGCGGCTTATCAGGTATCGTTAGGACAGCGGGATGTTGGGCAGTTTGTTTCACTCCTCACATACATGGCCCAATTGCAAGGGCCCTTGAACTTCTTTGGCACCTTCTACCGTTCCATCCAGTCAGCCATGATCAACTCAGAGCGGCTGCTGGAACTGTTCAGGGAACAGCCCACCGTGGTCGATCGACCCAGCGCCAGGCCCCTGCCAGTCTGCAAGGGTGATATCATGTTCGAAAATGTCGAGTTCTCATATGACACCCGGAAACCAGCCTTGAATGGGCTGACGTTCCGCTGCGAGCCTGGGACAACCACAGCTCTGGTGGGTGAGTCAGGCGGAGGAAAATCTACTGTTTTCCGTCTACTCTTCCGGTTCTATAACGCGACGAGGGGCCGTATTCGTGTAGATGGGCACGACGTGGAAAGTATCAAAATCGATTCGCTCCGAAAGCACATCGGAGTTGTGCCGCAGGACACGGTGCTCTTCAACGAGACATTGATGTACAATTTGAAGTATGCCAATCAGGACGCGACGGATGAGGAGGTCTATGAAGCTTGCCGTGCTGCCAGCATCCACGACAAGATCATGTCCTTCCCCGATGGATATAATACTAAGGTCGGTGAGCGCGGTCTCCGACTCAGCGGCGGAGAGAAGCAGCGGGTTGCCATTGCTCGGACCATTCTCAAGAACCCGCGAATTATTCTTCTGGATGAAGCGACTGCTGCGCTGGACACAGAAACCGAGGAGCACATCCAGGGCGCGCTGTCAAGCCTTTCCCGTGGGCGGACGATGCTTGTCATTGCTCATCGACTGAGTACCATTACTACGGCGGACAGAATAGTAGTCTTACATGAAGGCCGAGTGGCTGAAAGTGGCACTCACGATCAATTGCTGGCAATGAAAGGCCGGTATGCCAGCATGTGGCGTAAACAGATTCGTGCCCAGAGGGCCGCCGCGGAAGCCCAAGTGCTTCAAGATCGCGCTCAACGCTTGCGTAGCGCATCTACATCGGGTGCCGCCGATGATAGCTCCAGTCAGTCCGACGAGGACCGGAAGCCGGCCAACAAGCCCGGTGACGATGGCCGCAAAGGACAGGAGACAGCTCGGTGAGCACTCGGTAGGTCTAGCTAGCCAAATTCAGACGGAGACGCCTCTGCACCCGCGTTGAACGTTTGTGAATGACGGGGTGGGAGATATAGCATCTTATTGGGTTTGACAGAATCTCCCGGGGCTATCTCCCCCTTGTAAATGCTCCCTTAGGGGCAATTGCATTTCAAGCGACTCACGACTACATGACACATTGTTCACTTGTCATTTTATATCGAACATCAACCTCGCCCCCTTTTTCTTTTTTCGGTAAGGGACGTACAAAATGGTTGGAACCGTGAATAAAAATTATTAGACTAGTTGCATTTGACACACGACATCTACGATACTGATCGATAGCATCCTTTAGTATTTAATTCCATAAGATTCTTTTGTGTATCTTCGTCGAACCTTGTAGTATAATAGAACCTATTTACATTGCTGCGAAGAACGTTTACTATTTGCGGGCGTTCCATTGGCCAATTGCCGCCAGGCCGGGGTTACATTGCCTGAGGCAGTCAACCTCCGGATTCTCGATTTCCCAAGCTCGGCTGCTCCGCTCTTCATTTCTTCAGACAACGGATACTGCCAACTTCTTCGACTCGCCTCGAGAACCTCACACGGTCGGATGACTTTACGGTCTTTTTGATACTCTATACTCACTTAGAAGAAAATAGAGGCCTTTGCAGTATTACACAACACCAAACGCCTAATAATGCACCCTCCGTCTCCCCAACTTCTCCGCGCCTTGCGCACCTCTATCTCCCCCAACTGCGGCGCCAGCGCAATCTGCACACAACTCGCATCTCGCTCAATCTCCCCTCTCGCTCGGATTACCCCCTCCACCCTCACTCTCCACCGCTACAACAGCAACGATGCTCGCCCGACCCGGATGATCCCTCGTGCTCACAGCGCAAAGCCCTCCAGCCGAGACCGCGGCCCGCCGTCCAAGGAAGACACCCAGACGGACTTTGGTGCACTCAACGTGCTAGGCAATATCCCCGCCCCGACAACCGCTATCGACGCTACTCTAGATACGGGATTTCATCTAGACAATGGCGTCAAGATCACCGGTGGGAACGGAGTGTTCCTTGTTGGCGGAGAAGCCTTTGTCTGGCGGCCGTGGCAGGGTGCTGAAGCAGGGAAGAACAGTATGGTCAATCAGAAGGGCCAGTTTGAGGTCCCGGAGCATGCGTGGGGAATTTTGGATCTTGTTTGGCCTCGTCCGGGTATGTTTTTGCTTTTGTTTCTTCTCTTGGCTACGGGGGTGGTTGTGTGGTGGCCTATGATTTTGGGAATGTGTGGCTAATTTGTGGCTTTTGATGCTGTCTAGATATGTTGATTATTGGTATGGGAGAGACTGTGTTTCCTCTGTCGCCGGAGACCAAGAGACATATCAATTCTCTGGGAGTTCGGGTGGAAGTGTTGGACACGAGGAATGCTGCTGCGCAGTTTAATTTGCTGGCTACGGAGCGAGGTGTGTCGGAGATTGCTGCGGCTATGATTCCGATCGGTTGGAAGGGGAGGTAGAGTCTTTTTTGAGCTGGTGTCTGAGCGGTCATATTAGGGGTTATTGGACCCTGGATACTATGGGGCTACCCGATGGCTCGCTGTGATATTTTGGGGGTACCGTTGTGTATGTTATTGTTATCTTGGGGAAGTCATCTCCCTTTTAGAATGTCCCATCCACTCTTGTATGTATGTATAATAGATAATGAGATTTACTGTCATATTAGCCTAGTGTTCATGGTCTAGTGCTGTATAGCATCACTAGTGTCAGAATCCATGTGACGTCGACGGCGATCCCCGGGCGGCGCGATACCCGAAACAGCAAGATAGTGGCCTGGACTAATCGGGGGTTAGCTCAGGCCAACAAGTGCAACCCCGGACGATCTTCCCGCCTGTTGCTCACCTCCTTCTGTCCAACCTCCCATCTCTCCTTTCATGTACTATTCTTCCCCGTTCATCTGATTCTTCCTCCATCCATTCTTAGAGGGCCTCTCACAACACTATGGCGCGTGAAGAGCCTCTCTTGGCCCAGCGCCCCTCGTCTGACCATTCCTCCATTCGGAATGCCGAGGAGGAGGACGCCCTGCTAACCGGGATCCGCACCGACCGTGACCGACGCCGCAGATGGAGCTTCTGGAAAGAGCTCGGCCTCTTCACCTGGGCCCTCATTGCCACAGTAGCTGTCATCGTCCTTTCCGTCGTTTACCAACATGAATCCAATCGAGGTCCAGATCGCTCCAAAGATCCCTGGACGAAGCCCGCTGGCAAACGGAACCTTATCTTCATGGTGTCCGACGGCATGGGCCCCGCTAGTCTGTCCATGACCAGGAGCTACAAACAACTCACACAAGGGCTCCCCGCTGACGACGTCCTTGTCCTGGACAAGCACTTTGTCGGTACCTCTCGTACTCGATCGAGCTCCAGCCTTGTGACGGATTCCGCGGCCGGTGCGACAGCTTTCTCGTGTGGTCATAAGAGCTACAACGGCGCCATCTCCGTGCTTCCTGACCATTCGCCGTGTGGCACCGTCCTCGAGGCTGCCTCCTTGGCTGGTTACAAGACGGGGCTGGTAGTGACGACCCGTATCACCGATGCGACACCGGCTTGCTTTGCTTCACATGTGAATCTCCGACAGTACGAAGACCGGATTGCGGAACAGGAAATTGGGGAGCACCCGCTGGGCCGGGTGGTGGATCTTATCATGGGTGGAGGTCGGTGTCACTTCCTGCCCAACTCGACCGATGGAAGCTGTCGGGGCGATGACCGTGACCTTGTCGAGCTGGCGAAGGAGGGTGGATACCATTACATGGATGATCGAGCCGGGTTCGACTCTCTGAATGGAGGCACTGAAGGCAAGCTGCCACTACTGGGGCTCTTCGCGGAGAAAGACATCCCCTTTGAGATCGACCGCCGCAGCCAGAATGACGTGTACCCCTCTCTTGAGGAGATGGCTCGCACCGCCTTGACAATTCTCAGTCAGGCTACCGCCGACAGTGAGCAGGGATTCTTCCTCATGATTGAGGGCTCGCGTATCGACCATGCTGGCCATGGAAACGACCCAGCTGCACAAGTCAATGAAGTCTTGGCATACGACAAGGCCTTTGCGGCCGTGCTGGAGTTCCTAGAGCAGGACTCGACTCCGGGAGTGGTCGTGAGCACCTCCGACCACGAGACTGGAGGCTTGTCAGTCGCACGTCAGCTACAGCCCGAATACCCCGACTACAAATGGCTTCCCGGTGTACTCGCCAATGCCAGTCACTCTTCGGAGTACGTCAACAAGAAGCTAGTGAACTATCTTGCCACCGAAACGGACGAAGATAAGCAGTACAAGTTCGTCCGCAGCCTCATTGAGAACGACCTTGGCATCACAGATGTCACGGACGAGGAGATCAACGCCGTTCTCGATCCCAATTACCCATATGACCCCCAGTACGTCTTTGCGGATATTGTCAGCCGCAGGGCTCAAATCGGGTGGTCAACCCACGGACATTCCGGTATGATACCACCATCCAAATAACCCCCGTCAATCACAAACTAACCTCATCAGGTGTCGATGTTAACATCTACGCCTCCGGAAAACTCGCGTTTCCCCTGGCGGGCAACCACGAGAACACCGAAGTCGGCGACTTCCTGGCCGACTTCCTAGACCTAGACCTGAAGAGCACGACCAAGAAGCTCCTCTCCTCCGACTACTGGACCATGTCTTCCGAAGATAGCCCCTTTGGCTGGCTCGGCGACCCTCTAGGCGAGGATGTCCGAACCGAAGGCTTAGACACCTACCACGGCGAGTTCCGCAAGCGCGGACTCTCCGAACGAGGCTGCAGCTGTGGCGAGAGCCACTGAAGCCGATACACTTGTCACGATTATTTCTATAACGTCTAAATCGTCAATCATGAATCATCCATCTTGCCATTTATACAATAACTTTTGACAAATGATGATTTAAATTAACAATGTTTGCATAATACTTTGGTGAGGGTGTTTGGCGTTAACCACAACCAACAATCAGTTTTATATGACTTATCAGAATGCTTTTTTCTTAGCCTTTAATATATCACTTTCATCACCGATAGCAAAACTACGTATAATGCATAACATACGTATAACCATTTAAGTGTCCATGATATATTATCTCATCACTCCCCCAATATCTTACTTATATCATACTGAGTAAAATATCAAAGCATCACTCATCACCCCATTCATATCCGTGGACCTCTACCCCACCAACGACAAGCTCGCAGCAGTTCTCTTCCCACCGGCATCCCAAAACAGCAATCCGTATCTCTCCCTCCGCAATAGTTGATACGAAATCAGTTGATACAGCATTATTTCATATGGCTAACTCCGTAGCAGCGAGAAGACATTGTGTCTACATCGGGGGTAGGGTGGATTATTCCGATGTAGATGGTACATTTCTATTGTGTTTTATCCTGATTCAGTAGTATATTAGGTCTGATTTAGTTATATCAAAGTGATTGGTAGTTGATTGGTGGGTGATGGGTTGCTTAGGAAGAGCGGGCAATTAGTAGTGGTAGGGTTGGTGATGTTGAGAGTGTGTATTTGTATGTTGTAAAGCCTTTTTTTCTGTCTCAATGGGGAAGAGGGTTGGGGGTTCCCGACGGAGAGGGTGTAGCTACTTGTACGTTGCAACTTGTTCTTCGGTATCATCCGGTAAAATAAAGTGATGTACATTAGTCCTATTTCGGTATTCGCTTGTCTGCCAGACCAAATAACCCATTGGCATTCAGTAATCTACCATGCAAACACCATACCAGGGAAAGAGAAAATAAACACGTCCAACTACCAGGCACCTGATTACCCAGCGGAAAAGGGGTATTAGTATGTGTATTCAAGTCATGTTCATGACAGAGTAAAAACGCAACCACCCAGGCGCAGTCATAAGAACCATAAAGACATCCAATGGGGGCAAAAACATAAAGTACAAGATCCGATCAAAGACGGGCGTTCGGAGCGCCAGGTATAGAACAGTAAAGAGGATTAAGAATGATAACACAAGTCGTAAAGGAGGGTCATGCACCGAGAATCGAGCTATGTGAATAAGAATATCCAAGAAGTGAAGATGATGGTTGCTTGTCGAGTCTCTCCTTAGAGAGCGACCAGAACGACAACTGCGACCAAGGCAGCAAAGAATGAGCCTCTCATGACTCGCTCATTCTGGGAGGGGGCACCGCTCGTGTCGGTGCTACTGCCCTGGCTGAATCCAGAAGAGGTACTTGAGCTGCCACTAGTGGTGCTGCTGCTGCTGCTGCCTGGTACGTTTCCTGAACCTCCCTGGTTCTCAGGAACCGTGCCGTTAGTTCCGGAACTGCTGGAGTCGCTGGCACCGAGATCCATGTCGAGACCGGTGGCGCCAAAAGATGCAAGCACGGTGTCATTGTTGGTGATCTGAACCGATTGCTGTAGCCCGTCCTTGTTGGTGAACATGTACGACTTGTTTCCGTTCGAAACAGTGCCGTTCGGGGCATCGTAGCACTCAACCGTGATGTCGCTGAACGTGGCGTAGTAGTAACCCTTGTCTTTGATGTCCTGGCTGTCCCAATCGATTTCGCCACCAGCCCACTCAATGGTTCCGGGTGCATTGCTGGCTTGGCCGGCGGGCCACAGGGAAAGCTGCATTCTGGACGGGGACTGGGGGTATTGGTAGCGCTGAGCAGTTTCGTTCCAGGTCGATTCCTTGGTGAGAGTCCGCTTGACCTGACCATCCACAGACCAGGTAATCGCATCTTCCTTCCAGTCGATCTCATACTCATGCCAATCATCGAAGGTATCACTTCCGTTGACGGCATCCTTATCGCCGTTGTTGTCTGCCCAAGGCATGTTAGCAGCGGGTCTTGAGAATTGCGTTTGGTACGATGGTAGGCTTACAATTCAGAACACCCTGCCAGTAATAGTTGGTCTGGACATTGGCCAGATCCGCACCAATCCACTCAAAGTCGATCTCGTCCTTGACGTCCGAAAGCAGGATGAAAGCCGTGACGACACCGGCACCACGGCTGCTCTTGACTTTGCCGGAAATCTTGCCATACCAGACGTAGTGGTTGTTCGCAAAGAGGGTACCAACGGTGTTCTTGGGCATAGTGAGGAGAAGATTTCCATCGTCCAACTTGGGGTAGCCGCTGTAGACCCAGTCGTATTCGGACGCATTTCCGAGGTATTTGGTGTTCAGCGCGGCACTATCGAGAGAGTCCCACTTGTAGGTCTTGCTCTGACACACGGGCTCACCAACGCAAGAGTCCAGAGAGTATGACGAGATGGGGTCGCAACCACCCAAGCAGTAAGCACCAGTACCGCACTGTCCATATTCTAAAAGAGTATTAGCGGATGAGGTAATACCACATAGGGCTAGATTTGAAAAGGGACCAACGCACGAGAGCAGCAAGGATACTCTTCGGGGCACTGAGAGCTGGTACTGCATGAAGGAGGGGACGAGGCAGCCCAGACGGAAGTGGCGGCCAACGAGGCCAAAAGAATGGAAGAAGTGTACCGCACCATTGTGGCGGACAGGGTTCAGTGAAAGACCTGAGAGCTAGGAAGTAGATGCTTGTATAGCTAGACACTAGAGATTGGTCTGGAGACGTGCAAGACAACACTGCAGAGGGAAACCGTTAGTTTATTAATAGTAATTAAGGCACAAAATTCACTGGCTCTAATGTTGGCTGTGCCTGAGTGGCAAAGGAAAGTTAGGGCGTACCAAAATTCAGTCTTGGCTTTTCTCTTTACCGCAGTGAAGGATAAAGATACCGGTTTCTATATAAAGACGGCGATAGAATTGTATGATGGGGAATCCAATCAAAAGTTGCGCCGATAATGAGGGACCGCGGGAAATTCGGGGAGGTAATTATTCTTATCGCCGTATCACCGCCGAGGGAGAGATGGATAGAAAAAAGGATGAGGAGTACTGGGCAGGAGAAAGAGTGAAGAGAGCAGAGGAAGAAGAAGAAGACGACGACCGGGGAAGAGATGTCGAGTAACGATAGAACGAGCCCGGGATTGTGCCACGAGTACAATGAGGAAGGAAGTCACCCGAATTGGGGAGGAGGAATAGGAGGAGTCATATACTATATAGCCTCTAGTACTTGCCTAGAAAGTCGGCGCTCTTCACTTTCTGTCTCTCCTCTCGTTGTGGAAGGAACGGTTCAATGCGAATGCGGTTCCGGTGGGACCTCATAGCCCACCCGTCAGGTAATTTCACCTTGCTGGTAATGCACGGCCTCATACGGCGTATTCGGTTTCCAGCAACAGCAGCAGCAGCAGCAGCAGCAGCAGCAGCACGAGAACCTTTCGAGAACGTTGTCTGTCCCCCTCTTTCCCCCTCACGCAGACGGAGAGACATCACGGGGGTTTTCTATCCCTTTGTTTAGATTAGCTATCCGAGTAACTTGAGATGACCCAGCTGAATAGGATGCCCTCTGACCACATCTGGCATGTTGTTGGCCCGATGATCTGTTCGGTATCTCAGGGTCACCTCTCCCACCCCCAGTAGTGACTGACCCTGCCTGATAAGGGCCCTCGGACCGACCACAGCGAAAGGTACAGTAAAAAGCGGTATTTACCATCACGGTACGGGAGAACTTTCCATGCAGGATCCGTCGTTCTTTCTGGATTGGGAAGCTTTCAATGGACGAATCCCTGATCTGCCCCGGGACCCCTACTAGTGCGCTAGTCTCGAAGCAGACCCTGCCCCACTCCGCCAAAAGTTAATTCCTCCGTGGATTTCTGCTTTCTGCTTTCTGCTTTCTTTCTCTTACACAGCGAGTTCCTTATCAGCAGGCGCTGCTTTGGGCCACTAAGCACCCTGAGCTAGAAACTAGTAGTTGAGTTACTCGTCTAGCGCTGTCCTGTCTGTCCCTGACACTGCAACAAAACAGGGAAATCCTTGGGGTTGATCATGGAGAAGGGTGCGCTCATCCACATAAAACTAAAAAAACTCTCCCCTTTTTTTCTTACCCTTCTTCAATCTTCCCCAGACCCAACCAAGGGTGTTACTAAATCTCGTGCTCGCTTAACATCTTCAAGAGCAACCAAATATCCCGCAAAGCCTACTAGGCAGGTATCTACATAGCCCAAGTGTCCCCATCCCACTCCCCATGTGGTTCCCCCCTATGACTAAATCCACAACAAATAAACCCCGGTTGGTGCTCACTCGGTCACCCACAATGTCTTAAACCAAATGGGCCTTGTTCCTCGGAATCAAGTCAGCAAACGGAAAAGTCCTATCTACTAACTACCGGACTAGTTAGTTCTTGAGGGGAAAAAATAAGAAAAGAAAAACTGGTTCGAGTTGACAGCCGGTCATTCCGCGCACCCAGATAAGAGATCCAAGACATGAAAATTCATTTAGTCGCGAACGGTCAATTTTATTCGTCTGCCTAACCAGCTGATGATAATAATAAATCTCAAACTTACAGAGTACATATACATACATCACTTACACAGTATGTTCAAATCAGGAGAGCGAACAGGTCTCTTGACCAACAATGACCTACCGCAATCGTCCTTGGAAGCAGGGCTGGTTGTTACACCAACGGGGCGGCATCCTCACGTTGGCTGCGCGCGCGCATGCCGGATTATCTCATCGCCTTGATTTCTATGAACCTGCCCGAATCGGAGGGGATTTCATCAGATCAGGAATTCGGCGCGCGGCACACGACAGTCTCCCGTGGTTCATAGATAAATAACTAAGTAACTAGCTCGTGGATTGTCTGCTCTGTCAGGGGGCCAAGCATTGGCATGAAGATATGAGCAAAATTTTGAAAAGGTAATAATACACTGTAAACAAAGAGAAAAAAAAAAAATGGAAATAAAATAATAATAAAAAGAAAAACCAGAAAACAAAGCACCCGGAAGCTTGGGATATTTTTAGCCGGGGATGTCTTTGCCACAAAACAGCCATGGAATGTGGCTTCTCTGACAACATGTTTGCATGATGAAATCGGTCGGATGAAGCAAGCAAACAATAGGTTGCGGGTTACGGGTTGCCGGATTACAATGGGGAAAAGAAAGAAAATGAAAAATGATTTCAATCCCATCTGACTTCTGAATACAATGTCATGCTGCCCTGCTCCCCCTCCCCGTTCGTGGCTCCATAACACCGTTTATCCACAATGACACCATATGTGTCAGTCATCAATCTAAAACCGAGACCCGAGTAACTAATTGAATCCACCAACCCCGACTGCGGACATAAGCAAAACTAACACATCTGAAACCGTGAATTAATTCGCTACTTAAAACATATGATGTAGTTAGATAATTTATTATATTAGATCATAGATTAATTTCATTATTGGGGCAATATTGACGGGAGTAATCCTTATCATTATCTAGGTAGATACTAACTAGTATCGTATTCTGTTCCATATCTGCTGCAACCTCCTGAACAGACGACTAGTAGGACAGTGCTAGCCTGCTAGACTAGGTCCTAAAATTGAAGCGGGAGGATTGGCATCTTCTCACCCCCCATTGGAGACCCAAATCACACACCGCATCTACTGAACTTTATTCCCCAGATATCTCTCTCCTATTTGCAGAACACTTCCTCCAATGCAGGGGTAACTTGCTTGGTTTTCTTTTCAGTAAACTTTAAAATCGCTGCTGCACCGGCTCTAATTTCAAATCTACGATGAGAAGGTGAAGCTCGGAGCACACACGCACACAATTGTCAGCAGCTGTTCCTGACTATCTACCTCTCCAAGCTAGCTAGTTAGTTTGCTAGTTCTGGTTCCATACAAAGTATAAACAATAGTAATAAGCCCCCCCGCACATGGAAAATCAGGTACATAGTTACAACCCCCCTCGTCTAATGAGCAGCTACACCACACAACATAACACGGAAAAGGCAACAACATAACGATCAGACCCTAGATCAGCATATACCCATATGATGTATACATTTCTCCCATCTCTCGCGAGTAAGTAAATATGAAGCTTACATCACCCATTGCGAATACCCATTGAATGAGTATGCAAGGGGAGAGTGAGTGGCTCAATGCATTCAGGTTCATGAATGATTAGGCCATGTGGGGTGGAGGAAATGATTGGAGGAACATACAGATAAGAACCTAATTATCTGGAAAATGACATGACATGTCTTAATCTTGATATGATCCAGCGATGGAACAGTTGTGATTGCGGATATCTAGATACCGGTCGGGCTCTTATGTGGCGCGATTGGCTGCATGATGATCATCGGCCGAGAATAATTGCGATGTTTAGACTACTTAGGTTATTGTGAACCCCGGTTGATGGGTGGCTATGTGATGGGTTTGTTTTGTTGTTTTATGGATTGTTGGAAGGGTATGGTTTGGTGAAAGTGAGGCTATTTTATTGCTATTTCTCTCCATACAAGCTTAAATAGATGTCAGGTGTTGGGTTATGACACATTCTGCTGTTTGCTTTGGTCAGTTTGCTCTGAGTACAGAATGTGTACAATCAGCTTGAGTGAAATATAGTCCATGGAGATAAAATACTTCCCCGGACAGCATCATATAATCTTACCCTAACTACACTTCTCGCCACTTTACTAAGTAGTCCATCAGTAATAGGTTTCGGGCTGCCAATCTGACTGTTGATGTTATAGCGTCAATGTATCCCAGTATGATGGAGGCATATCCTTGTTACATCATATGTCACCCACAAATATATGGTTTTCCATGGTAGAACTTTTTTCGGCCCCAAACTATACAAGTACTAGTATATCCTCGGCGGCTGTATCACGCACAGATGGCATCATCGTATTGCTTCTCTGTAGTAATGGCAGCACTATACTAGGATGGCCATGTCTAAATTACCACTATGTATTTATCGATGGCGAATGCTGCCGACTCAGCGATGGAGGTGTGGTTGGATCTAGGTTTACTCGTCACGCTGTCGTTTGTTGATGTGTTGATATGATTGTGAAGAATTGAAGTAGATGGACAAGGTATCCAGTATACGGAGATACCAAGACCAAAGTAAGGGAGTAGAGTCCTAAGGGTTCGAAATAAGGCACGTGTTTGACAATATAAATGGTTATCTTTGAAATCTGCGACTACTACTGCTCTCTATAAAGGCATCAGCTCGAGTAGTGGTGTGCTGCATAAATGATGGCTGCAGGTGTTTAGTCTCGCAGACAAAAGTGTCTGATGTATCACTGAATGAAAATGAAACAAACGAGTGTCTAAAACCATGAAGTCTACAATGCCATGGCCTCTCGGAGAAATGTCAGTTGATTGAGCTTGTTGTATGTAACACTTCAAGTGGGGCAACAACACTGTGATTAAGTATGTGAAATACATGATAGAAGCAAGTATAAGTATTGAAACATACAAAGTCCTCTGGCTGGTAGTTATGAATCATCGGTTGTTGCTTTCCAGAAAAGCTGTAGCTGCCAAGGTCCATCTTTCCATCAGAGGAATGGCTGGCTTGTTCCGACAGAATTACTAGTTGGTTTGCTTTAATGAAGGTTGAAATATAAAAGATTTTCTCCTGTCCAGAGAAGAGACTGATAGTCCTCATTTTGCCTTCATCATCAGCTACCACCCTGTGAAGCCTCACTAAATCGTCAAGGCAGTTTCCGGGAATCTGGAGATGGTATCACCCCCAGTGCAGAGCATATCCATTTCAGAATAATGTTAAATAGCTTGCAATATCTCAGGAATTTCCATTGTTGATTACGAGTCCGCAACTGCCATCCAAAACCCCGAGTTTGATTTGCCTGGTTTGCTCTCTCCTTCACTCCGTCTTCAGCTCGGAGTGAATAAACCAGATCCTCTTCTCGCTTCTTTCTTCTCTTCTCTTCTCTTCTCCTCTCCTCTCCTCTTCCTTCTGTCTCTTTCCTCCCCATCCTCTTCTTCTTATCCTTCTCTGCCATCAGGATCTCATCCATCACATCATATCTTCTTTTTCTTTTGTTTACCTCTCCTCCACGGCTACGCATCTTATTATCTTGAAGACTAAGCAAGTCCTATCGTCAACGTTAACCCTCGTCCATCTCCAAGATGAGACCCTATTCGATTGACGGTGCCATGGCTGAGGCCCTTAATCACCTCAACCTTATCTCTTGCCATGTTGGTTATGAAACTCACCTTTCTGTCAAACTAGCGAGCTAAACCACGTAGTTCCGCGTGCATGGACAACACCACGTCGCCAACGAGATCGGAAAGCTTAGCATTATGATTGTGAACAAGTTCTCTGAGGGAGTTGAGCATCTTACTCCCGAGGAATATGTCCTGGCCCCTGAGGTAAGCAGGAACAAACGAGTCTAATGACGATACAACGCAATGAACACTAACAACCACAGCAGGATAGTGCCACTCAGGAATCTGCAAGCACCCAGCTCTCCTCTCACATCGATAGCCAGAAGCCAAATGGCTCGACTTACTTGTGCGACACTGAGAAGGAGAACAATGGCTATGTGGATGGGACCAGAAAGATGCCCGAAGGACGTCATCTACATACTGGAAGCTGGGCCCAGGTCGCCGGCTCGATCTCTAATGGTCGTAGCCATGAGGTGCAGTGTATGTCACCTATGTCTCTGGCGTTGGGCTCCGTGTCCAAGCCAAGTCAGAGCAGTGACGATGGCACTGAAGGGCGTGAGTCAGGAAATGCCGGAGTCACGCTCCCTGCATCTGTCTCTCCCGACATTCCCGACGCTAAAGCCGGAGTTATTCGTGTCTATGGGAAGATTACTCGGGACTTTATCCAGTATATCACTACCCGTATTCACGAAGGGCCCTTGCAGGACATCCGCGTGGAGACTAATGGAAGGACCAAGGTGACCTTCCAGCACGCAGCCCAGGCGCTCGCCTTCTTGAACTCTAATCAAGATATGGAGCGCATGCTGGGCTATGGGCGTCTTGGAGAAGGCTACCGCGTCGAGCTGGCTGAAATTATCGACTGGAATGAAGACCATCGTCGGATGAACCAACCCATCCGGGAGCGTCGCCGCCTCTCTTTTGCGAGGAAGAGACTCTTTGCCGAGGGCATGTCTCCCGATAAATGGAAGCAGGACATTCGTGCTCTGGCTGGACCAGGAAACATTGATTTCCTCTGGGTGTTCAATTCTGGTAACGGTAAGTGCCTACTATATGATATAGCGATTACAAACAACTAAGCAATGCTAATGACTACAGCGACTGCCGTGTTCACGAGCACCGTCGTTGCTCGCCGTGTGCTCGAGGTCTTCGAGGATTGGAAGAACGGCCGAAACGTCTACAGTGGCGTTTCGGTGACTTACTCCTCGGACCCTTGCGAGAAAGAATTGGTGCTGGTTCGCGAGACCAACCGCCCTGGCATGGCCAGGAACTTTATCAAACGAACCCTGCGTTGACTCAGGCGTTTTGCCTGCAGATGGCACATGCCAAGCAAAGGATATTATATCCATTGCATCATTAGTAGTGTTGAGTGAGAAAGGTGAATGGGCACCATGTGTCATGTAGTCCGGATGACGCCGGCCATCTGCAAGTTGGAAATGCGAAACCTGACCCACCTCCATACACTGGAAATATGGGAGGGTGTGCCTGAGTCGGTCCGTGCCGGCCACGGACCAGAATAAGGGGTTCTGTTCATTTATGGAAATGTCACGGATTCTAGGATGGAGTTGCTTTTGCACAGGTTACTACTATTAGGGCTGTAATCAGGATGTTAATGAACCGTATGTTCATACCAGATGTAGTAGACATTGTAACCATAAACCAGCTTAACAAAAAACAAGCAACGAAAAAATGCCATTCAACTATACACTATACACAATGCCCCAATCTCCCAACCCATCACTCACTAACACCAACACCAATCCACCCTACTCAGAAAGCGGAGGAAACGACCTCACAAAACTATACCCACCCATTAGCATCACCCCTACCCAACGGGTCTAACAAAGAAAAAGAAAGAGAAAGAAAAACTTACTGAGCCGGACACTCATACCCCTCCGGGTTCTTATTCAAATACAACTGATGATACTCCTCCGCATCCCACCACTGGCCCGCAGGCACGACGACAGTCGAAACCGGCTGCTTGAACCACTCCTTGCCGACCTTCTCCGTCACCTCAGTGGCAATCTTCTCCTGCTCGTCGTTATGCGTGAAGATCACACTGCGGTATTGGGTGCCCACGTCCGGACCCTGGCGGTTCAGCGTCGTGGCGTCGTGCATTCTGTAGAAGAATTCGAGCAGGGAGCGGTAGCTCACGATGCTGGGGTCGTAGGTCATTTGGAGGGCTTCGGCGTCTGCAAACATATCATTTTCCCATATGTTAGTATGTATGTATCATTGGTGGTGTGATTGGGGGATTGGGATAATGGGAAGAAGGGGATGCATACGGCCAGTATCACCCGTACAAACAGCCCGGTAGGAAGGCGAGGCGCTGTGACCACCGCAATATCCTACTTTGGCTGAGAGGAGGCCCTTGCCGTTGCCGAAGTGTTTGCGGAAGAGGTGTTCGACGCCCCAGAAACAGCCGGCGGCGACGGTGGCGGTTTGGGGGGTGGATGTGGAGGAGGACATGGTGCGTGTGATTGTTGATGTGGCTGTGGTTGTGGGAGTTAGGGATAGGGATGCGAAGTTGGTTGAGATGAATGGGCGGAGTAATGTGCGTGTGAAAGTTGTGGATGTCGCGAAGGCCATGGACTTTTTTCGGAGAGCTCCACCGCGGTGGGTGGTGTTGGGTCCCGCGGGAGGCGGGGATGAGGGGTCGGTTGGAGGTTGAAGGTTGGAGGTTCCGTCGGTGCAATGCTGTGTGATTTTGTGTGTATTCTTGGGTGGATGGGGTTGTAAGTGACTTTTGCGAGGTTATCAATGAGGATATAAGGAGATTGTAGTAGTTAATTAACTAGTAGATAGTAGGGAACTGGAGAAGTGGATTTGTCATGCAGGCGGGCGGTGGCGTCATTCCGTGCATGACATCAGGAAGGCTTCTAGAATTGACTTCTAGAAGTATTAGTAGTGTATAGCCTAGTTTAGTGCTTACTGTTATGAGGGAAAAGTATGGGAAAATTCATCCTGCTATGGTACATGCCCCGAAACTAATATATGCCTCTGAATAAGAAATACCATCAACATGAAAAAGAGAAGAAAAAAGTTATCGAGTTTATGAATCTTTCCAAGTTCATATCAAGCACATCAATCCCGTACACACCAGATGAGCAGGTCTGATCCCAGATCGCGAGGTCTGCTTCACCAGAAATCAAAGCATGTGGTATCCTCCCTGAACACCGTCCGTATTACCTAGACCCCAACAATTAAAACAAAGGGAATTGCGGAACACTTCAGTTACCGCAGGGCGAATCCACCGTTGGAGAAGCTCGCCGGGGGCTTCTCCAGCTTAGGCGTCGCCATCGCACTGAGCCGGATAGCATCTCTGCTGCTCAGGCTGATGTCTCGGGGCCGGATGTCGCCGCCAAAGGTAGTGCGTCGATGCGTGTTCTTCATGATAGGCAGGGTGCGAGGGCCCAACACCCCAGGCTTGCTTTCCATTTCTTTCTCGCCTTTACCCATCCGCCGGGCCTGAGAGGCCGTGAACATGGTATTCATAGTGTTCATTGTGTTGTTCTCAGTCGGAGAGCTTCCGTAGGTGGCCGATGTCGGGCTTCGTCGTCGGTGGATGCGCAGGGCGTTGGCGGAGCTGCCCACCTGGAACGATCCTCCAGAAATCCGTCTCATGGCAGAGGTAATCTTGATGGCATCGTCCTTGCTTGCCTTCCAGCTGTTCTTGTCCGATGCCGGGCTGCCCGAGTAGCTGCCACTCGATGTCCGGACCGCAATCCTAGAGGGGCGCTCGACGGACGCCCGGTTCAGGAAGCTGCTGCCCTCGATGTCGCGCAGGGGTGACTTTTCGCTGTCGGACAGGGGAAGCGTTGTCGTTGGTGGGGGTGCTATTGGGGAGCTGCTGTTTTTTTTCGTCAAGAATCCCGCCTTGAATCGGTTGTTCTTTTGCACGTTGAGCGTCGGTTCGGGAACTGCGGACACCGGGGGTGATCCGCCTGAAGAAGGACTGAAGTTGCGACTGGGCACTGGAATTCCGCGAGGAATGGGCGATGTCCGGGGTAGCTGAGGCAGCTGGGGCTCCGGGCTGTTCTCTGGTATAGTGGTAATTTGCGTCTTCTGTGGTGTCTTTTGAAATTCGGTCAATGTGCCCTCGTGCTCGTCGTCCTTCCATCGTACACTTCTCTTCGTCGGTTTGGCGGCGGGTTTCTTTGGTGAAAAACTGACGCTCTTTCTGCCGACGTTCAACTTGCGACGTCGGGGAGATCCCTTCTGCGGCGAAGGCGGCGCTGCTGTAGGAGTCAAGACAGGTGCAGCCAAGGGTCGGCCCAAGGGGGCGGTAGTCGCAATGCTCAGCCTCTTCTTTTGCTTGAGGGGACTAGCCTTGACTGGGCTCAATGGCGGCATGGATGGCAGGTTACCGTCTGGCTTCACGATGTTAGAAACCGAGGTGGAACAAGAATTGAGCATCTTTGCCAGCATCTTCTGTCCCTGCTCAATGGCTTCTTCCTCACTGAGTTGCATAAGATTCTCAATATCAGTAATCAGTTCGAACTGTGCCTGGAGAAGCAATTGCACAGTGGCCGCTTCGCCCGCCTTGTCCTGTTCAGCGACTGCCGCCAGAGCCTCACGCTCATGGTTGGCCCTCAGCAGCTCGGCCTCGCGAGTCATACTGACAAAATCGCCATTGTCGCTGATATCAAAGTCTTGGAGTTGACGAATGGCGTGTTCCACCGCGGACGTCATGCCGCGGTCCCACGCATTCTTCGCCAGTCGCTGGTGATAATGTTGCCTGCTACTCTCCAGTTCGAGAAGGATTCCTTGGGCTGTCTTGCGTACGGCCCTGAGATTGGACAGAGCATCCTCAGCTTCACAACTGGCGCAGATATGATCAAAAGCGCCGATCCACGCAGAGAGCAATCCAATCCGGCGACTGATCTGCTTCTGCTTGATCATGTGGTTGGTTCTCTCCTGTCTCTCTGATAACGAATGATCGTACGCATTGCGAATGCGGGACAGCCCTTCACGAATGACTGCATCCTTCTTCTCGGTTTGCTTTTTGAATTTGGCAAAGGCGACCTTCTCAGATTCCTTTTGCTTTGCTTTAAGTTCATTAATCAACGCCATTTGCTCATCAATCTTCACCAGGAAGTCCTTGACGTGACGGTTGACATTGAATACGTTGCGCGTGACCTTTGTCTGAATATTCTTCGCCCTGTTGGCATAGCGTAGGGTGTTTTGCGTCTCGTCAAAGTGCTGACTGGATGGACTAACACATACAATCATCACAGTCTTGCAGTTACCACCAAGCGCGAACTTCAGCAGACGGGTCAGTTTGGAGTTTCGGTAGGGGACGTGGTTTCGTTTCCGAGGATCGCAGAGTGCATTGATGCAGCTTCCGAGGGCGAGGAGGGACTTGTTGATGTTTGCACCTTCAAACAGTCTCTCTCCCCGGTTCTTGGTTGCGCTGGCACGCTCACTGCCTGCAAGGTCGATGATACTCAGAGTCGCCATGGTATGGGGCTCGTTCACGTCGGCGTTTCGGTCTTTCTGTGCAATGTTGATCTGAAGGACTGCGTGCGACCGCGAGGAGGTAGCGTTTGCCTCGGTCGGGGACATGGTACGGCATTCGTTACCCCTCATGATCATGTCCATAACCTGCTGTACATTCTGCGGGTGATGGCTTGACAATCCTGACACCGACACGGACTTGTTTGAATCCTCTCGGAGCATCAACCCCCCTTTGCTACCTCCGGGCACAAGAAGATCACGGATGGTCTCGTTGTAAATCTCGAGATAGGAAAGCGAAACCTCAGTTGCCTTCTCTCCGGATCGTTCATCTATGCGTTCGAACAATTCCTGCATTGTCAGGAAGATAATACCGGGCTGCTGGGCTGTGCCTGTAATGGTGTGAGTTTTTCCACAACCTGTGGCACCGTATGCAAACACCGTTGCATTGTAGCCGTCGAGGACGCTGTCGAGAAGGTTCCGGGTCGTTGATTCATAGACCTCTCCTTGCGAGGCATTCTGGTCGAAAATCCGATCGAAGGCGAAGGTCTGATCCTTGACACGTTTTCCGTTGGGGACAACACTCTTGGAGAACTTTTGTACGGGATTGTCCTCCGGAGGGTCGAACACACTATTAAATAATTGATTAGATCGTACTAAGACAGCATGGTATAGGTTAAGCTCACAGGCACCGGTCATCAATGACCTTGATGATAGAGCGAAGGCCCTTTTGGTTGAGCTTTGGTGTCGGCGCTCCAGCTAAGGAGCCGTCACCAAGGAATAGCGGACCATCCTCGCATTTGGAGAGCTGTGCTGCCTCCCGGATGGTAAACGGTCTAACTCGGACCGCAACGGTGATCGATGAAGCGTCGGCCATGGTGTTTCGTCGGTGACAGCAGAGGCGCCACGTCCCTCTAGAGGAGAGCTATCGCGGAAGAGGATTCAACGCGGCGGGCGGCTATCCAGGGACGTTGCGACGCCCTGTATCGTCGGCAAGGCGAATTGATGAGGAACAGCGAGCTGTAGAAGATAAGGATTGAGGAGTCAACCGTGAAGAATGTTGACTGTGGACCTGTTTTTTCGTCGGCCCCAGAGATTCCCCTGTTGAGCAACGCTGAGCACTAGTTCCAGCTTCGGCCTGACTGTTGACACCCGCTTGTTTTCCACCGCCTTGTTGCTCCGAGCAACCGCCCGCCGTGTTGATAATTCAAATATGTTGTGGCTGCAACGTTATCGCTTAGAACCTTGCTTGGTACTATTACTATTTGTTTCTAGAATACGGCATATAGCCCATAATACCACGCACCATTGTTTCCTGATTGGTCCACGGCTTGTTGCAATGATGGAAATGGCTGAGAATGATTCATTGATCATTACTTTGTTGCTTTTTCCGTGGTACATGTCTATTTTTTGTTTACTATCCAATGCACAGCTTCGGTAAGACAGACTCGACAGGACGTTATTGGCTGTAGTGTGTCCCGCATTTCCATTCTGTCTGTTGTACCTCCACTGGATTGTGCTATGGCTCATCGGACATCCCTTAGATTGCCGCCAAATTGAAGACTTGCATTGCAGTGGATCCAAATAACAATAGCTTCATATGCAAGTAAAAAATCAATGTCCAAGGACCATTATTTCTGGTAGTACTGGAGCTCCGTTTGCTTTTGGGAGTCCTGCCTAGCATATATAGATTCTATTTCATGGAATTCTTGACTGCCACATCATTGTATTTCTGCCCAATTATTGACATGAAAGGAACGTAAACGCCGCCGATATGAGCCCCGATCAACCATGCGCCAACCCATGAAAGCATTGCTGAATACCACCTAGAGAAGCAGTTTTGACAAGGAGCTCAATTAACCTCCTCCTCTTCATCATCAAAGCTCGGGACAATCACATCCCAACCAGGATCATCCAGCTCCAGGTCAATCATGTCCTCACCCTTCTCCGAGTCCTCCCTGGGTTTCCGGAATCTGAAAGCAATAGGCTGCCCATTCTTAATCTCAGCTGTTTGC